TGGACCTCATTTACTCTTATGATTTCTTATGCCAGGGAGACAATATGATGTTTACAAGAGTCTGATCTATTTCACTTATGAGTATGGTGTCAAGTTGCATCTATTTACTTACAGAAGTCTCAAGTTTATCCTTCATTATAGCTAAAACTCAAGTGTAAAAGGAAAGTAAAACCGCACCTTTTTAATGCAATCCTATGTGGATAACATCTGTGTTGTTTGCAAGCTTGATATTAAAAATTACAGTGCCATAAACACAATTGCTGAGGTATTATGTTTTTTGTTCCTCTGGAAAGATGCATAAAAGGGAAAGAGCTGGGTTGAATGGACTGCTAATCCTAATTTTTCGGAGTCTGTATGCTCATCTCCACAGTACTTGTACTAGTTTGCATTCCTCCAACAGTGGAGAAAGGCTCCTTTTTCCCCACAGCCCCTCCAGCATTTGTTATTTGTTGATTTCGTACTAACAGCCATTCTTTCTGGAGATAGGATCTCAGTGTTGTTTCAATTTGTATGTCTTAAATGATCAATGATGTTGAACATTTATTTATCTATTTGTTGTTTGAAATTCTTAATCTGAGATGCATGTATTCATCTCAGATATCCACTTTTAGATTAGGTTCTTGAATTTGAAGTGTCTAATCTTTTTGCAGTTCTTATTATGTTCTAGATAGAAGTCATTTTCTGAAGGAGAACTGACTAAAATTTGTCCCATTCTGTGATTTTTTTCACTCTGTTGTTGTGACAAAGCTTTGTAGTAAACAGAGATCCCAGGTGAAAACAATAGAAATGGAAACACATGAAGGAAGTCAGAAGATCAATGTTGAAAAATGGCCACTTGTACTTCATTAACATCTTTCCTTACAATCTGAATATTATAGTAGCTAACGGTTTTAAAAATAATAAAGGAGAACAATATCACAGTATCTTTTTAGAGGTGGTGATGTGTTGAGCATGGGTCCTGGACCCATCTCCAAGACTATAGTCCAGGTTTGTGGTTTCTCCTTCCCTCATATTT